GATCAGGATGTAGCTCTCAGCCTGCTGCCATGCTCCCTGCCACGATGGTAATGGACTAACCTTTGAAACCATAAGCCAGCCCCCAGTTAAATGCTTTCTTTCATGAATTACCATGGTCATGGTGTCTTTTTATAGCAATAGAACAATGACTCAGTCCCTCTCTGTGTCTCTCTCCCACACTCTCTCCCTCCTTCCCTTCCTCCCTCCATCCTTCCCTCCCTCTCTCCCTCTACCCTCCCCCCTTCCTCCCCCTCTTCCTTTCACCTGGAAATGGAAGATGCCAGCATAGTTTTTCTTGAAGTTCTGGCCCTTGGGCACCACCCGGTACAGCAGATTGGGGCAAGTAGTAAGGGAGCCAATGGCAGCCAGCAGCCAGCAGTCCCCTTAAAGGCAGACAAGCAGGGGTTGTCCTTGAGCAGTACCAGTCAGAGGAGCAGCCCCACAGATCTCCCCAGTAGAGTTCCCTCTGCCTTTTCACTGAGAAGTGTTGGGGGCAGAGAGTGACTCTGGGACAGTATGCTCATGTATTTGTTCAGGCAAAGGAGTCACAAATCCCAGTAGCCCTGGGGAATTTGGGAAGGCTGCATAGTGTCCTGTTTTCTCTCAGGCAGGTTTCCCATCTGTTGAACATTTTCAGTAACGTTTCTCTGTGAGTCTCATTCCCACCTACTCCCATGCTGGAGCAGTGGCCAAAGGCCCAAGATGTCTCTCTAGAAAACTTCTGTAATCTCAGCATTTGGGTGGTGAAGGATAAAGGGATTTTAAGTTCATTTGTCGCCACCCTGGTCTACAAAGGGAGGATCTTTCTCAAAACAACGATCAAGAGCTGGTGAGATGCTCACTAGCTCCAGGGAAGCCTACAACACCTTCTTCTGGTCTCTGCAGACACTGCTCTCTCTCTCTCTCTCTCTCTCTCTCTCTCTCTCTCTCAAACACACACACACACACACACACACACATAGACAGAAACACATATATACAAAATTAAAAAGAAAAGTTGCAAAACAGGGACTGGAGAGATGGCTCAGAGGTTAAGAGCACTGACTGCTCTTCCAGAGGTCCTGAGTTCAATTCCCAGCAACCACATGGTGGCTCACAACCACCTTGAATAAGATCTGGTGCCCTCTGCTGACATGCAGGCAGAAGACTATATAGACTGTATTCATAATAAATAAATAAAATCTTAAAAAAAAAGTTGCAAAACAAAACAATCCAATCATCCAGCCAAAAAATGATGCCTTGGGACTCAAGAGAATCCTCATGAGTTAAGAACACTTGTTACTCTACCATGAGGACCAGAGTTCAGGTCCCAGCATCCATATCAGATATCACATATCTCACAAACACTAGTAATTCCATTTCCAAGGGATTGGATGTCCTTTTCTGGCCTCTGAGGGCACCAGACACACATTTGTACATGCTGTGATACACACACACACACACACACACACACACACACACACACACACACACAAATAATTTTAACAAATCTGGGTTGGAGAGATGACTCAGTGGTTAAGAGCACTGGCTGCTCTTCCCGAGGTCCTGAGTTCAATTCCTGGCAACCTCATGGTGGCTCCCAACCATCTGTAATGAGATCTGGTGCCCTCTTATGGCCTGCAGGCATACAGACAGACAGAACGCTGAATAATTAAATCTTTAAAAAACTTAAAAAAAAAAATTTTTTTTCCGCTGACCGACCCAGCCCTCATCCAGTGGCTGATGGAAGCAGAGACAGACATCCACAGATATACACTGAGCTGAAATCGGGAATTTAGTTGAAGAGAGGGAGGAATGAAGAGCGAAGGGGTCTGTACCAGGTTGGAGAAACCCACAGGAACAATTGGCCTGAATAAGGGAGAGCACATCGACCCCAGATGCTGTCTGGGAGGCCAGTACAAGACTGATCCAGACCCCTGAACATGGATGTCAATAAGGAGGCCTCTTGCACTCCAGGGAGCCTCTGGTGGTAGATTAGTATTTTTCCCTGGTGCAAGAAGGGGCTTTGAGACCCCATCCCACGAGAAGGGTTACACTCTGGCCCTGGACACATGGGGAAGGACCCAGGACCAGCACAGGAAGATTTGGTGGACTTTGCAGAGCCCCCATTGAGGGCCCTACCATGTGAAACAAGCTTGTTCCTTAACTAGAACTAAAAAAAAAACTTTAAAAATTTTTAAAATTTAAAAATGGAAAGATGTCTACTCTGGGCTGTGGTGGTGCACCCCTTTAGTCCTAGCATTCAGGAGGCAGAGGCAGGCAGATCTCTGTGAGTTTGAGACCAGCCTGGTCTACAAGAGCTGTTCCAGGACAGCCTCCAAAGCCACAGAGAAACCCTGTCTCGAAAAACAAAATAAACAAAACAGAACAAAAAAAATGGAAAGATGTCTATACCATCACCCACATTCTACTGGAGAAGCTGGGCTCTGCCTCTATTCCACTGTGAGTCCTGGTGATATATTGTTTATGATCTAATAAAGCCACTGAGGATCCAAACGAAGCCAGCCACAAGCTATAGAGGCCAGGCAATGGTGATAACACACCATTAATCCCAGAAGCCACACTAGATGGCCATAGAAGCTAGGCAGTGGTGGCACACACCTTTATTCCCAGGATTTAGGAGACAAAGGTAGACAGATCTCTGTGAGTCCAAGGCCACCCAGATCTAAGCAAGACTGAATTAGTCTAAAAGAGAATTAGAGCTCACGCTTTTAATCCCAGCCCTAGAGAGGTATATAAAAGACCTGAGTCCAGTGTCTCAGGCTACATTCTGAGATTTAGTCTTCAGCCAGTTGAGGGGAAGCAGCAGTCTGGGAGGAGAGTCTGAGGATTGGTGGAGACAGGCTGTTTTGGCCTTAGGTAGAAGTAAGCGCTAGTGGCCAGCTACTTTGCTTCTCTGATTTTCAGCCTGAAGCTTGAACCCCAATATCAGTCTCTGGGTCTTTTTTTTTTTTTTTTTTTACACAAGACAGTGTCCCTGTCCAGAGGCATTGGAACACAGTGCCATACACCAGTCATCCACTACCACTGTGCCCTGGGGTCAGCCTTCAGTCATAAGTCAGGTAGTAGGTCATGCTGTGTAACCTCCAGGGTCTGGCCAAGCTTTTGGGCACTGGAAGTTTCTGTGGTGACTACTGGCCTCTGGGTTTTGGAGAGAGGGTTCAGGGAGGAAGGAACAGTAAAGACTCCACAGTCCTCATCCACACAAGGGCACAACAGTGATTCTCTCCTCCTGTTCCCAGCATCCCTCAGGCCCGCTGAGCCACAGAGGCAAGTGTGGTCTTGGGGTTCCTTGGCTTTGTGCTATACTTTATATCTGCCCTTTCCCTGCCACAAATAGAAAATAAAGTCCTGCTGCCTGCCCTGGTACTAAAGGGGCAGGAGACTGTGAGGCGGGACTAGCTCAGGCAGGAGGAGATAACCTGGTGCCTGGAGCAGTGTCATGTGATTCCATTGCTCCATATTTGATGGCCCAGACTAAAGAAGTCCTACCACCTGTGACAGGTATTTGAGTTTTGTCTCCTCAAAAGATAGGACCCAATCCCTGTTCTTTTTTTTTTTTTTCTTTAAAGACAGGGTCTCCTATAGCCCAGGCTAGCTGTGAACTCCTTGTATAACCTTAAATTTCCCACCCCCACCCCCCTTTTTTTGGCAAGGTCTCTAGGCTCTTGGCTAGCCTGGAACGCACTATGTAGACCAGGCTGAGTAATTCTCTTGCCTCTTTTAGATTTTAGGATTACAGGCACATGCCACCATACCCAGTTTTGTTTTTTTTTTTTTTTTTTTTTTTTTTTCTTTTTTTTTTTTTTTTTTTTTTTTTAGGTTTATTTATTTATTCTGTATACAGTGTTCTGCTTGCATACCAGAAGGGGGCACTAGATCTCATTATAGATGGTTGTGAGCCACCATGTGGCTGCTGGGAATTGAACTCAGGATCTCTGGGAAAGCAGCCAGTGCTCCTAACCTCTTGAGCCATCTCTCCAGCCCCACCATACCCAGTTTTCTGTGATGCTAAGGATTGAAGAAAAGGATTCTTGCATGCTAGCTGAACAATCTGCCAGCTGAGTTACACCCGGCCCCATAATCCTTTGCCTATTGAGTATGGGTCACATTTAGGGCTTGTTCCTATTAAAACATGGTGGAGATTACTGTGTATATGTGAGACGCTGAGATCAGGTGGGCTCCAGGGGTGTGGGGTATACCCAATGGTGCAGTGCTTGCCTAGCTGAAGGCCCTGGGTTCCATCCTAAGTAAAAAATAAATAAATAAATGAGCCAGCTATGGTGGCATAGACCTTTAATCCCAGCACTTGGGAGGCAGAGGCAGAGGCAGATGAATCTCTATGAGTTCAAGGCCAGCCTGCTCTACATAGTTTGTGGCTAGCTAAGGCTACATAGTGAGGTCCTGTCTCAGCATATAAATAAAAAAATGAGCAAATGAAACAAATAAATGAAAAGCTCCTGTGGCTTCCTCCTTGTTTTCTCTTGGACTACTCAGTAGGAGTCAGCTACCGTGCTGTGTGGAAACTCAAGCAACCCTGTAGACAAGCTTCAGGGAAGAGGCTCAGCCTCCTGCTAACAGTTAGCTGGACACTGAGATTCCATCCACGAGACCCAAGAATCTCAGCAGGGTAGCCTTGATTCAGCCAAGCTTTCAGAGGACCAGGGTCCCACAGTGTAGCTGACCTCAGCAGACATCAGACACTCTGGGCCAGCCCTGCCCCTTAGTTTCTGAGGCTCCCCAACAGAGCCAGGGAGGTGAGAATTGCATGCTGGTTGTTTGGGATAGTCTCATGTGACTCCAGGTTTGAACTTGAACTCCTGATCCTTTTGCCCCTTTTCCCCTAATGCTACAGCTGTAGGTATGTACCATCATGGCTGGTTTGAGGCTTAAAAAAAAAAAAAAGATTTATTATCTGTGTGCGTCTGTCTCAGTGTGTGTGCACACTTGTGGAAGCATGTGAGGTGGGCATGTCAGTGCACATGGAGGCCAGCAGGGGGCGCTGAATTCCTTGGAGCTGGAGCTTCCGGTGTTTTGGATGGACTTTGGATGTAATGGACTTGGTACTTGGGTACTGGGGTCTGAACTCTGGTCTTCATTATTTTGTACCAAGTGCTCTAAACTGCTGGGCCATCTCTCCACCCACCTCCAATAGCAAATCCTTGGGTAATATACAGCAACATGTATCTGCTATATCACCTCAACTTAACTCCCAAACCAGACTTCAGTAGGTACAGAAGGGACGTAGAGGACACACATGACACTTCTACTGACTGTCATCTCTTGGAAGGCGAGGAATAGGGAAACAGAGGTAGGTTGAGTCTAGGGAGTTCCAGTCTTCCAGGCTTGAGAGCCATTCCTTAGCCCCCACCCCACCCCTCCTGTCTTTACTTTCCCCATAGAGCCCAGCTCTTTGTCCCCCACTCACCGAGGACTCCTTGGCAGATGTCTGTGGGAGAGATCCCATTCCTAATGAATTGGGGGTTACTCGTGATATCCTGTGGTGAAGGAATAAGAGCGTCAAGGGGTGAAGGACCCATCTCTGGCTCCCTTGCACCTCTGAGTTCTGGGTGAGCAGTGGGGGGGGGGAGGGCGGAGCCATCTGACCATAGCTTGGCTGTAATAGCCAGGCTTGAGTGCCATCCCAGGATTAAACTAACGGAGCCTGTTCAGAACTATCCCCAGCTCTGACGGCATCAGGCCTAGGGCGCCAGGGCCCTCCCCATTTCCCAGTGCCCACCTTGGGCCGCTGCCAGTGGATGTTCTGCACCTGTTTAGAGCTGGGGCCCAGATCCTTGAAGCCTATAGACTTGGGCTCAGCAGGGAAAAAGGGGTCCTCAAACAGTTTCCCCTTCCTTAGACATGTTGCTCGAAGATCCTCAAAGTTCTGATTCCTGAAGTTGTGGGCGTTTTGGTGCTGGCCCTCACCTCTGGCCTTGAGCCGAGTATTGTTTATGGAAGCCACCATTCCCGTGGCACCACAAATGGGCTCTGTTTGATAAAAGAGACAAATAACCCAATTTAAAATGGTACTGCAGCTGGGCGGGTGGGAATAGCAGCTGCTTGCGAGGTGGAAGCAGGAGGGTCAGGAGCTGATTATCTTCCGCTACAGAAGTTTTAGGGTTTTTTTTTGGGGGGGGGCGGGTTGGAGGCAGGATTTCTCTGTGGTTTTGGAGGCTGTCCTGGATCTAGCTCTTGTAGACCAGGCTGGTCTCAAACTCACAGAGATCCACCTGCCTCTGCCTCCTGAGTGCTGGGACTAAAGACAGGTGCCATCACCACCTGGCGAAGTTTTTTGTTTTTTTTTTTTTTAAGACAGGGTTTCTCTGTGTAGCTTTGGAGCCTATCCAGGCACTTGCTCTGAAGACCAGGCTGGCCTCGAACTCACAGAGATCCGCCTGCCTCTGCCTCTGCCCCCTGAATGCTGGGATCAAAGGCATGTGCCACCACCGCCTGGCTGACAATACTTGTTTACTTTAATGTGCCTTTGCATGCGTGTCTGAGTGTATGTCTGTGAGCCACATGCTTGCAGGAGCTCACAGTGGTCAGAAGAGGCATCAGATCCCCTGGAACTGGAGTTATAGAAGGTTGTGAGCTGCTATGTGAGTGCTGGGATTCAAACCCAGGTCTTCTGCAAGAGCAGCCGGTGTTCTTAACCACTGAGATACCCCCAACTTCCCCCCCTTTTTTTTTCTCTATCAGCCCCTGCTGTCCCAGAACTTGCTTTGTAGACCAGGCTGGCCTTGAACTCACAGAGGTCTGCTTGCCTCTGCCTCCCAAGTGCTGGGATTAAAAATATGCACCACTACCAACTGGTAGATTTATTTATTTAGTTATTTATTTAGTTATTTACAGGGTCTTACTATATCTAAATAGATCTGGCTAGCTTGGAACTCACTGTGTAGACCAAGCTGACCTCAAACTCTCAGAAATCTGCCTGCCTCTGCCTCCCAAGTTCTGGAATTAAAGTGTGTGCCACCATGCCCAGCCTAAAAAAATGTGTACAGGTATCTTGCCTGCATATATGCCTGACAGGTCCTCTGAGGCCAGAAGAGGACATCAGATCCCCTGGGACTGGAATCAGTGATGGTTGTGAGCTGCCTAATGTGGGTGCTGGGAAATGAACCAGAGTCCTCTGGAAGCTCAGTCAGTGACCTTAACTGCTGAGCCATGTCTCCAGCTCCATAAATCTAAATTTATATGTGCACCTGTCTGTGTTGGTATGAGTGTATGTGCATGTGTGTTGGGGGGAGTGAAAGGTGTCAGATCCCTGGGAGCTAGAGTTACAGACATTTGCAGAATGTCCGGCTTCTCACATGGGTGCTGGAATCCAATCTGGGTCTCATTATTGTTCAGGGAGTGCTCTTGACTGTGGAGTTGTCTCTCCAGGACCAAACAAAGTGAAAACATCATGTTTGCAGAGAGCCTTGGTTAAATGACACTCTGCCTCAGAAAACAAATAAAAATGGTGTGGATGTTTTTCAGAAGATCAAGACCATCAAGAGGCGCCCCTTCCTGCTCACAGAGGGAGAAACGACAAGGTGAAGTGAAGACGTGAAGAGTGAAGACTCTGGAGCCCTGGAGCATGGCCAGGGACATGGGGAAAAGATGGGCCCCTTTGGAGAGCATCGTTTGGTGGCAGTGTCTCAAATAATGAGACACAGGGACTGGAGAGATGGCTCAGCAGTTAAGAGTGCTTGCTGTTTTTCCCAGGACCCAGGCTTGGTTCCCAGAACCCACATGGGAGCTTATAAATCCCCTGTAACTCCAGTTTCAGAGGACCTGAAACCACTCTGCCCTTCTTGGGTACCTGCACTCGTGTGCACACACCCACACATAGACACGTAATCCAAAATAAAAAATCAGGGGCTGGAGATATTACTTCATGAGTGAGGGCACTGGCTGCTCTTCCAGAGAATTCAGGTTCAATTCCCAGCACCCATATGGCAGCTAGCTCACAACCATCTGCAACTTTAGTTCCGGGGGATCTGATTCTCTCTTCTGGCCCCAGATGGCATCAGGAACACATATGATGCACAGATGAACATGCATGCAAAACACCCGTGCATGTTCAACAACAAAATAACAACAAAAATATAGCACTTGGGAGGCAGAGGCAGGTGGATCTCTGTGAGTTCAAGTGTGCTCTACATAGCAAATTCCAGGCCTGGGCTACATAGTGAGACTGTCTGCAAGAAAGGAAGGAAGGAAGGAAAGAAAGAAGGAAGGAAGGGAGGAAGGGAGGGAGGGAGAGAGGAAGGAGGAAGGAAGGATGGAAGGAGGAAGGAAAGAAGGAAGGAAGAAAGGAAGAAAGGAAGGAAGGAAGGAAGGAAGGAAGGACAGAAGTTCTCAGCAAGGGAGACAAACTGTGTTTCACCCAGCCTAAGGACTCTTGGCTGTATCTAGAGTTTTTTGTTTGTCCCATCTAACTGCCTTTCAATGCTTGGGACAGCATTGGTGGACAAAGGATCACTCCACCCGACATGTCAGTGGCTCTGCAGAGGCTGTGAAATCTGCGGCAGATCTCAGGCCAGCTACACAAGGAGATGAGCTGCTTGGTGCCATCCAGAGAGGCCTCTGCCATGGCTGCACTGGGACTGAGGGTTCTCAGCCTCTGCTGGAGGTCTCGGAGGGTCCCAGAAGGTGCTGGCATCCACAAGCTGGACATCACCAAGGGGCCGACCAGCCCAGTGAAGGTGCAGGCTTACCTCCCTCGTTTCCCTGGAAACTCAGGCCAGAATCATTTCCCAGCTCAGAGTCATTTCTTGTCACACTGACTGCAAACCTTGGTTAGAATCCCCATTCAGGTCACCAAGGTCTGAGCTTGTTTCTTAGTGCTGACTGACAGCAGGGAGGTGTACGCCCTACTCGGCCCCTCATATACCTTACTTAGCCCCCATTGTCATTGCTATGGCAAGCATCTCTAGAGAAGACAGCTGTCCCAAGTCCTGTCACATGGTGTTGTGGGGACTGTGCTACGAGTCCAGCAACCACTGTCATCTTCACCAGAGTAGCTGGGATTACTAACAATGGGCTCTCAAGATGGCACCTGTTGACACTCCCTCATGGAAGAAAGGGTCTCACAGGGTCGCTGGATCCTCACCTAGGTCCCAGCCACTCCCTCTTGCATTTCCTAGCCAGCTGGTTGTAATTCTGTGCCAACTGCATGTGGTCTTGGGAGTTACTAGAGTGTGTAAAGTGAGAAAGGTTAGTTGAAGAGGAGGCTCATTTGTGTAGCTACCAGGAAATTGTCATCCATGCAAGAGTGAGACTTTTCAGTGGTGCAGTTTTGGGGTGTAACCCTCACCAATGCGCTGTAAGCAAGCCCAATAAACTCAATGGTTTACCAAGTTAGACTTTGGCCTCTTGGGGTCTTTCTTATCTGGGGGGGGGGTGAGTAGACTTTTGTTGATGTCATGAACTTGAAATGTTCATGCAACACATGGGATAGTAGGAGGGGGCCAAGTTGAGACAGACAGACAGACAGACAAACGAGGCAGGCAGAAGCTCAGGCAGATAGCTATGGGAGAATGTTAAGAGACATGACTATGCTGGGCGGTGGTGGTGCACACCTTTAATCTCAGCACTAGGGAGGCAGGTGGATCTCTGAGTTGAGTCCAGACAGGTCTACAGAAAGAGTTCCAGGACTACCAGAGCTACACAAAGAAACCCTGTCTTGAGCTCCCCTCCCCCCCCCAAAAAAGAAAGAGACATCATGACATATGAAACTGCTGCCTCCATCAGACTAAAAGTCAAGGTGTGGTGCAACCCCCATCTGACTAGGGACCTGTAGATCTTTGGAAAATTAAATCTAAGAAGAATGTGGCAGTGTATTACCATAACCGGGCATTTGGTGGCTGAGGCAGGAGGATCCTGTTTAGTACATCTATTTACTTACTTGTTCGTTTCTTTTTTATGTGGCATATATGTGCCAGAGCATATATATCTGTGGGGTCAGAGGACAACCTATAGGTTCTCTCCCTCCACCTTGTGGGTCTTGGGGATTGAACTTAGGTCACCAAGCTTTGTGGCAAGCACCTTTACCTGCTAAGCCATCTTGCTGGCAAGGACCCTGCTTCTGAGGCCTACGTCACATAGTGACACCCAGTCTCTGAAACAAAGCCAAGAGTACTGCCTTCCAACCCCCTACGTCTATTGCCTAATATGTGATGCACTATCTCACATACCTCACACACTTTTGGTTGTGGCAAGGACACTGAATATGAATACTGTTTGTTTGATTTTTTTTTTTTTTAACAGGGTCCCATATAGACCCTGGCTGGCATCAAATTCCCCATGTAGCTGAGACCTTCAACTCCAGACCCTCCCACTTCTACCTCCTGTGTGTGCAGAGGACAGGTCTGTGTCTTCACTCACACAGGTTTGATAGGACCCTGGGGTGGAACTCTTCACACCGGTTTGATGTGACCCTGGGGTGGAACTCTTCACACCAGTTTGATTGTTAGGACCTTGGGATGGACTCTTCACACCGGTTTGATTGATGTGACCCTGGGGTGAACTCAGGCTTCGGGTGTCTGGGCTCTCTACCACCTTAGCTGTGTCCCAATCCCTACTGTCAGTGATTTTAAAAAAAGACTTATTTTTAGTCATGCGTATCCACAGTACATGCATGCTAACGCACACAGTACATGCATGCTAATGCACACAGGGGTAGAGGTGTTGTATCTCCTGTGAGCTGTAGTTCTGGGTCACCCAGTACGCTGGGAAGCAAACCTGGGTCCTCTGCAAGAGCAGCATAGGCTCTTAACCGCTGAGCCATCTCTCGGCCCCCCTCCCAGCTTTAAAACTATTACATCACAACCAGGGAACCAATGGTTTTATAGATAGTTTGCTCTCCAGAGCTTGGCGGAAACTGAGATATTACTTCAGAAAACTGTAGGGGTTTAGGATCTCCGTCAATTCTAAACATCACTAGCTTGTCACAGAAGCCAGGAGGCTGAGTCTAAGAGCCTTTGTCCTCACAGTAACCCAGCTCCCTTTCTGATCACAGACAGAGGGGGAGGGGCAGAGCCTCGACTCTGGTAAGGCTGGATTCCCCAAAGGAACAGCTTCTCAGCCTCCCCTCCCTGAACTGCTACCGGCCCAGTCTGCCCTGGATCTGAGGGGGTTGGGGGTTTCTTGCTGTGTCTTTGAACCTCAGGTCTCTGTACTAAGGCTCTAGGCTTGGGAGGGATTTTCTCTGTTCCCTAGGGTTTATTGTATCTCTAATGGCTGATGGGGGCCCCCTTACGCAAAGCCCTCTGCAGACAGCCATGACTGAGGGATACGGGACACAACTCTACCCATGCCAATGCACCTGCCTACTCTTTCTCTAAGTCAGAGGAGGAAGCCCAGCTTCTACCCTCTGAGCATCCAGCCTGAGAGAGGTCTGAGGTCTCAGAGAACACAGCCCCATTTCTGGAGGAAAGACCTAGTACATAGAAGGGACAGGCCCCATGAGTGCCTACCTGGGGACTTCAGCATGCTGAAGGCTATTGGGTGAGCACCTAGCACAGCCAACACCTAGCACAGCCAACACCTAGCACAGAGCTTGACAGTTGAAGGTTCTTGGTGGTGGTGGTGGGGGGGTGAGGGAGCAGAGAGCACCCCTCCCCCACCCAGAACTCTGTAGTGCAGGCCTGGTCAGGGGCACTGGTCTAACTGTTGCCTTTCTCTTCCTTCCCACTTGGCCCTTTTACCCTGACCCTTCTGGTCTGCTAGGTCCAAGGCCTGTCCCTAGTTGGGCAGGGGAACGAGCACCTGAGTTGGCCATCCTAAGGCAAGTCCTCCTTGTCAAAGCTTCTCATTTACAAGAAAGCCATGATTTCACATATTCCCGTGTCATGTCTTCCTGTCTTACCACACTTTCTTTTTTTTTTAAGCTATGTAGCCCAGGCTGGCTTCAAACTTGCTTCAGAGCGAAGGCCTTGAACCCTGGGTCCTCCCTGTCTCTATCTCCTAAGTGCTGAGATCATGGACTGTGCTACCAGCCCTCCTGCCTCCTCCATATGCCATATGCATGTGAATGCCAGGACAGCTTTGACAGCCTCTTCTCTTCCACTGTGGGCTACAGGGCTGGAACTCAGGTAATTATGACCAGTGCTTCTGCCTGCTGAACCATCTCCTGGGCCCCTGCCCTGCCCTTGAGGGCCTCTGCTTCCTGAGTTCTGGGGTCACAGGTGTGCACCACCATGCCTTGCTGGGGATCAAGTCCATCAACTGAGCGACATCCCAGCTCCCGTTCCCATTTTATAGGTGAGGTCCAGGGTGTGATGCTATTTGCTCAGGGTCACTCAGCAGGTAAGAAGCTGGGCCAGGATTTGAACCTACTATCCCACAGAAGGAGGGGATTGGGAAGGCTCCCCCAGCCATTTCCTTCCTCGTCTCACACCTGTAAGCAGAAGGAGGATAATAGGTCACGGAGACTCTTGGGTTCCTTGAAGGACCCAGACTAAGTACTGTTTGCTAAATACTACTACTGGTTCTTCCTGGCTGACCTGAGTCAGGGCAGGGAGGTTCACTATACAGGTAAACGAGGTCTGTCCAGGGCACACTCGGTAGACAATAGGATTTTCCAGGTAAGATGTGGTATGCTTACTATCACACAGACTATGCCTATTAGGGGTACTGTAGCCTCCTGCAACTATATGCTTGCTTCAGAGTCTCTTCATTTCTGTCCATCTGGCAGCTGGCATCCTGCCTGCGGCCCTTGACCTGGCAGCTGTTCCAGTTGCAGCACTTGGAGGGACTCCATCTGGGAGTTTGTACTTCATGGAGGCTGTAGACTAGGACCAAGGCCACTCCTTTCATCATGGTAACTGGCCTGGTCCTGCAGCCAGTCAGTTGCCATGAGCACTGGCTCGTGTGTGTGTGTGTGTGTGTGTGTGTGTGTGTGTGTGTGTGTGTGTGTGATATTTGTGGTACAGATGGCATCACCAACTGCCAGCGAGAGGCTTAGCTCCTGCTCCTGATGCCATTCTCATCAGGGTCTCTGTGCTCCTCACTGCCTGCCTCTTGTTGCCTCTGTAGGCTTTTGGTGCCTGTTTCCCCTCCTCTCCTGGACCTCTTCTCTCTGAGCGGTCCTCAGCTCACTTTCTCATTTTCAGTTGAACGATGGAAAATTCACCAGGCAGTGTTGGCACATACCTTTAATCCCAGCACTTGGAAGGCAGAGGCAGGTGGACCTCTGAGTTCAAGGCCAACCTGGTCTATAGAGTGAGTTCCAGGACAGCCAGGGCTACACAGAGAAACCCTGTTTCTATAAAAACAAACAAGATGGAAAATTCCAGTCAATGGAAGCCGAGGCTGGAGAATGGCTTGTGAGGTTAGCTTTACAAGTTACCTGGCCATACATCTTGATTTGACGGAGAAAACAAGACCAGAGAGCGGTGTTGTAAGCTTTCCCAGAGACACATAGCTAAGCCAACTGCTGAGCTGACAGAACCAGCCTGGGACAGAGGCTCTCTGGCTCTTGCCACACTATGCATTGTGGGTATATATACATGGCTGCACCCTTGTTGAGTGGCCTAAAGAAAAGCCCTTAGAGAAGGTGAGTTGGGGGTCTTGAGAAAAGATGGCTTGAGAATGGGGAGTCCTGGGGACATGTGGGGTTGACATAGGCCACCCTGAGGTTCTGGGGAGGGCCCTGCCCTGATTTTGCAGTTTTTCTCTCATGACCTTTGTCTCTTAGGAATTCTTAGGGTTCTCAGAGCATAGGGCTGGTGTGAGGTGACCTGTGCCCAGAGGTTCTTCCTGGACGGACGGATGGTCCCTCTTTAATAACACAGGAATTCATTCCAGGACCGCAAGGAGGACCTCACGGGTAGGATAGAGGATGAGCTCCCGGGGCTGTACCCCCAATCAGACACAAGCTTGGAGCTTTTGCTTTTATTTTAAAGGAAAACAAAAACAAAAAACAAACCCAGTGCAAAACCCCATTTTCCAGTGTTGGTCATGCCCCCAGGCCACCCCCTGGCTCAGACCTGAATCTTGGCTCCCCTCCCTTCTCCTGCATCCCAGAGGGCTGCAGGTTCCATGTCCCTAGAGGCCCAGATTCAGGGACAGTGAAGGGGAGGAAAGAACTGGGGGCAGGCACAGCTGTGCTTACTCTTCCCAGGCCTCCAGCCATGGCACCAGGTACCCACCTTGGCTCTCATTAACCCTTTCCTGGCCACACTACTGGGTGGTGAGGCTGATCTGGGGGGACTCCCACCACACCCCTCTTTGCCCCGGGGCCTGCTCGGGGCTGTCCTCACTGAGGTTGGGGGGCTCCCTCCCTCCATGGTAGGGGAGAGCGGTGACATCCCCAGGTTTAAATACCTTAATGAAAGCAGGGGACGGGGAGGAGGAAGGGGCTTTAGTTCTAATAAATTATTAGCGTTTTGTTTTTTAGT